GTCTGCAGCTCCCTGTCCTGCTGCGACTTGCTGGAAACACCAGCACCCGGGTTTACAGGACGGCAAACACGGCCCCCACACACAGTGCCCTCGGGTCAGCATCCAGACAAGCAGAAGTGCAGGTGGATCAGCGAGGAGCCAGTCCTGCCTCCCTCCCGAAAGTGCACCTCCAGGGCGCGCAAGACCCCTCCTCACCTACAACGGAAACCAAGAAAGGAGCCTGCAGCCCCACAGTTCCCTTCTCTTCTCCCTCCCTCCCTGCAGTGCTTTGAAAAGAGGGGTCCTACTGGACCCTCCTACAAACACCCTCCTCTGTCCTTTGTCACGGCCACCTAAGCACGCAGCGCCACTCCAGCGTCTCTGCCCTCCCCGCCCGCGCCCCAGGGTCGTCCCGCACTTACCCAGCCGCAGGCTGACACGGGGGCCGAGAGCCCGGGTCGGTGGCACAAGCAGCAGTAGCAGCGGCAGCAGCGGCCAGGCCCCCCGGCCCATCCTGGCTCCCGACTCGCGCTGCGGCGTCCTCCGGCTCCGGCTGCTCGAGTAAACTCGCGGGGCGGCCCCACCCGCACTAGCTCCAGGCCTCCGCCTCCCGACCTGTGGGTAGGGATGGGAAGGCGGGTGAGGCCGGCCTCGGCAGACGCAGGCCCCCAGCACCGCACCGCTCCTCCTGCCCCGCGCCCGCCCCCTCCCGCACCCCACGACGGAGGGCGGGACCGGAGCAGGAAGTCGCGCGGGCCCCGCCCCGGCACGGCCCTTCCCCCTTCCTCTTTCCCGGGCGCTGGTAGCAGTAGGCCGCCAGTTCTGTGCCCTCGGCTCGGGGCGCGCCCGGATGGGGTCGAGGCTGCTGGTGCGGGGACGCGGACGAAGGCAGATCTCCCCAACTCCCCACCCCACCTCTCGGACCCTCCCAATGCCACCAGGCCAGGTCCCTTCCCGCTCCTCTGGGACCCTCTGCGGCGTTGGGAACACGCACAGGCTTGGCTCCAGTGTGCTTGGGGAGGGCTACTTGGTCTCCTCCCTTTACGCCCAACCTATGCTCCTAGCATCCGCCTGTCTGAGCCCAGAGGAGCCCACCGGGCTGGTTGCTTCACTACAGGTCTCTGCCGGACAATGCTTCAAGCTCAGCGCTCAGTCTGGGTTCCCTGCCGGCTCGTCCATGCTACAGTTCTGCCCACGCGAAGCCCTCGGGAGGAGGGAGGGCAAGATGAGTTTAAGTGGGATGACAGGATCTAACATACTGGCAAGGAAGTGAGACCCACACGACCTGCACGTGGAAAAGAACCTAAAGCTGGCGTGGAATCCTAGAGACACCAGCCTCAGAGACCAGGGGTTCCAAGTGCAGAATCCTTCGTGGATTCTGAAATGAATTTAATGTATCCCCAACAACAATAAATATAAACAAAACCCAAAATATCAAAGTACAATGATATAAATGGTAAGTACGTTTTGGGAAACCTGTTACAACTTTGCCTAAGTGTGAACAGGATTACAGTAAATACAAGGGCCAAAAGGAGTTTGAAAGCTTCTGCTAGTCGTGCCTATAGCAGTGGCAAATGTTTCTCTGGGAATCTGCTGCAATTGCAGGGAAGTTCCTCTTCACCTCTAGCCAAAATCATCCTCCTCAGAGCCACTTCCTTTGTTCTCCTACCTACCCCAGAGACTGCCACATCCTCTCCTGCAGCAGAGTAGGTATCAGAGGGTGGCACAGCACCCACATGGTCATGGGTCTCCTCTCTTGCAGTCACACTTCACATTTCCTCATGCTCAGTGATTTCTATACCTGCCCCATCCTGACCTCCTCCTGCTGATGGGTACAGGCTGGCAGCACCCACCCACAGCAGTGGACACAGAATTCTACATGGAGTGTGGGCAGCACCCAGAGCCCTACCATTGCCCAGGCTGGGGTCTATCAGTGGAGTCAATCCATCTAGTCAGTGATGCCCACAGCTCTATCTGCAGCCCACACTTCTGGATCTTTGTCCTGAACTCCAGATGGCCTCAATGTTTATACTTGACTATCTGATAGAAATCTCAGCTCGGGTCCTGTAGCTCAAGTGCTAAGGCACCAGCCACATACACCAGAACTGGCGGGTTCGAATCCAGCCTGGGTACGCCAAACAATGACAACTACAACCAAAAAATGGCCAGGCAATGTGGCGGGTGCCTGTAGTCCCAGCTACTTGGGAGGCTGAGGCAAGAGAATCACTTAAGCCCAGGAATTGGAGGTTGATGTGAGCTGTGATGCCACAGCACTTTACCCAGGGCAACTGCTTGAGGCACTGTCTTAACAACAACAACAACAAAATCTCAAACCAAGCATGTCCCACACTAAGTTCCCAGTCTCTCCCCCTTCCCCAAAATGTGCTACAACTAAAGTCTTACTTACATCATTTAATTGCAATATCATCTTTAAATTGTTCAGGCCAAAAACCTTAAGTCTGTCTTTTCTCTCACTCCTCACACCTAATCCGCTGGCAGATCTATAATCTGACCACTTAACACCTCTCTAGGTCCCAGACACCACCCTCTCCTTGCTTGGGCAAGGGCCTCCTAACTGTTCTCTCTTGCTGCTTCTTCTCCCTCATTCCTCTACAGTCTATTCTCAACACAGCAACCAGGGTATCTAAAACAAGCCAGGTCAGGGCTCTCCCATGCTCAAATCCCTCCAATGGTTCCCCATCTCACTGAGAATAAAAGCCAAAGGTCTTACTTAAAATAATCTGCAAGGCCCTCAGTCTCCTCTCCACCCTCTTGTCCTCGCTTGTCCACCCCAGGTACCTGTGTAGTGTCCTGAACACAGCGTGCATACTCTGTCTCAGGCCCTGTGACTGGTCGCTCCTCACCCAGAGCAGCCTTCCCCAGTCTGCAACTGAGTTCCTCGCTTCCTTCAAAACTTTGCTCAAATATCACCTTGAAGAATCTGAACTTCCTCCCAATATTCCCCTTTCCCTGAGATATTCTCAAAGCACTTATTACTAACATACTGTATGATTAGATCATCTTTATTATCCTACTCCTTTGACCCAGAATGTTACTCAGGAGTACAAGGGTTTTTTCCTAATCTTCTAGAACACTGCCTGACACATACTAAGCAGGCCCTGAATAAGCATTGCCTGAATGAATGAATGAATGAATGCAACCTGAATCACAGACTACTGCTGACTCATGTCAGCTAACAACCAGAGCTAAATTTTTTGGTCCAGTAAAGAGTTCCTGCAAACCTGAAATCATGCAATTAACTTTTCAACCTATGCACAGAATGTTGTAATTAATGCTTTTAAATCTATTGGTTCTGTCTGGCTCAGGCTCCATCCCACTGAGGTCATGCTGGTTATTGATTCTGTTCTCATACACTTTGTGTCTCCTCCTGGTTTTGAGTCATCTATAAATTTGGAAAACATTTCTTATGCCTTTATCAAGTCAAGTCACTGATAAAAATACTGGGTGAGTAGCCCTAGTACTCAGACCTTGGTTTATAAATACCACTCTCTAATAAAATGAACTCCTTGGGGGAATGAAAGGGAGAGTACAAAGTAAACATGGGACATTCTGTTGAGCCAGAAAGCAAAGAAATGATCAGAGAATAATGGGGTCATGTCAAAAGGACGTAGGAGTCAGTTTGATGACCAACTGGTACATCAGAAGGCATAATGAATTCACGGAGTTTCATACATCAAATTAAAAAACAATCCATTATTCCACAGTGAAACTCACAAAGAGAGAGAAAAAAGAAAGGAAGCAGCTTTTCTTCAGAAAAAGTGCTAGCTGAGGCCGCACTGTGGCTCACATCTGTAATCCCAGCACTTTGAGAGGCTGAGGTGAGAGGACTGCTTGAACTGAGGAGTTTGAGACAAGCCTGAGCAAGACCAAGACCCTGTCTCTTAAAAACAGAAAAAACTGCGGCGGCTCGGCGCCTATAGCTCAACCAGCTAAGGCGCCAGCCACGTACACCTAAG